TTATTTTGTATTACGAGATATGATTAACCCTATCAATATTGACAATATTGTCACTTGATCAGTATCTGTTAGTGTAGAACTAATGTTAAATGGTGATCTCTCCTTACTATAATCTTTATTTTTGTTATTTTGTAATTTTGTTTTTTGTATCATGAGACAGGATTGCGACTTAGCAGTATCTGTTAGTGTTTAACGTTGAATAATAAAAAAATATTGGATAAATTAACATTTTTACTTTTGTGGTCTAAACAATGCATGACACTTTCCCAAAAATTCAAAAGTAGCAACTTCCAAGCAATATTGTTAGGATGGGTTCTTTTACAAAACATTCTTGGCAGGTTTTTGTTATTTTTAAAAACGTTAACACTTCGTGAAAACTGCGAAACGAACCCATGATAAAGAAAACTAAATTATATATCCTAATGTAAATATAGAAGTAAACATTTTTAGTTGTAAGGGGTGTGCTTGGCCTATGCTGTCAGCAATTATTGCGTCTTGGCCCCTGCGGCATGAAATGGTATGCAAACCCACAACACTGAACATAGAGGTGTTCGCTCTGACCGAGGGGACCGAGGCACTAACCACCTGGTACCTGGATTTAAACAATACTGTCGGTGTGGTAGCACGAATGTGTGCACCGAAGAAAGTTCGATTGACCACCAGAAAGCTTGGTGGCTGTATAAACATTCTAGAAATTTACTTCATTTAGCTCTCTGTTTTGGGTTTGGGTGCACTCTCAACAAAGGGGCGGCGGGAGTGGCCTCGAGCACAGTGTCTATTGTTGGCGGTACTTCGTGTTAACTGAAAAACAACCCCCTGTTTAGGAATCTAATTGGCATACAAAAATTGAAGTTAGTAATTTTGAAGTTGGGATCATTGAGATTTGCGGCAAAAATAGTACAGAAATGGCGTAGACAGCGTACACCGAATATTGTACAGAACCGTTACGTTACGTCTTACGCTACGTCTAACGTTTTATGAAGACTGAACGCGTCGACGCGTCCTAACAACAATGTTCTATCTGCAGAGTGCGGATTACACAATGTTCTATCTGCAGAGTGCGGTTTACACAATGTTCTATCTGCAGAGTGCGGATGACACAATGTCTCCCGCGTCGCCCTGGTGCGCGCGGCGGGAGGTGCCGGCGCTGGTCGTGGT